AAGAAAGACAAAAGGAAACAAATAAAAGTAATAGGAAAATAAAAGGATTCAAAGTGTTGCAATGGGTGCGGCAAATTTGTCATGGTCACTTTCATGTGCCCAGGTAAAAGGCACAAATGAAAATCCCAAATTTTGCCTGGTTTCCTTAATTAGTTGTCCCTTACAATTAGTTGTCCCTCACAATTAGTTGTCCTTTACAATTAGTTGTCCCTTACAATTAGTTGTCATTTACAATTAGTTGTCCTTTACAATTAGTTGTCCCTCACAATTAGTTGTCCTTTACAATTAGTTGTCCCTTACAATTAGTTGTCCCTTACAATTAGTCGTCCCTTACAATTAGTTGACCCTTACAATCATGCAGTAGGCAACAACAAGTATATCCTTGTACAGTGTACAGACTTCACTGATAAAATCTCTATTTTGCAGAAATGCTAATAAGGAAAACACTAGGAACATACATATATATATGTATATCAATGTATCGTCCTCAAAGAGCTTGTCATTCCTATGTGATTTACAAATCTCTCTTTACCATTGATAGATGTCTTGTTATTCTTAGTTGAAGGATATACAAGAGGCATTATAATAAACACTGTGTCAGAATAGGGCTTGTTACCCCTGTGTGACTGATAAACCAGAGACATATCACTGTGTCAGAATAGGGCTTGTTACCCCTGTGTGACTGATAAACCAGAAACATATCACTTTGTCAGAAGAGGGCTTGTCATCCCTGTGTGACTGATAAACCAGAGACATATCACTGTGTCAGAAGAGGGCTTGTCATCCCTGTGTGACTGATAAACCAGAGGCTTATCACTGTGTCAGAAGAGGGCTTGTTATCCCTGCGTGACTGATAAACCAGAGACATATCACTGTGTCAGAAGAGGGCTTGTCATCCCTGTGTGACTGATAAACCAGAGACATATCACTTTGTCAGAAGAGGGCTTGTCATCCCTGTGTGACTGATAAACCAGACACATATCACTGTGTCAGAAGAGGGCTTGTTATCCCTGTGTGACTGATAAACCAGAGACATATCAATGTGACAGAAGAGGGCTTGTTACCACTGTGTGACTGATAAACCAGAGACATATCACTGTGACAGAAGAGGGCTTGTTATCCCTGTGTGACGGATAAACCAGAGACATATCAATGTGACAGAAGAGGGCTTGTTACCACCGTGTGACTGATAAACCAGAGACATATCACTGTGTCAGAAGAGGGCTTGTTACCCTCCAGTGAATGATAAACCAGAGACATATCACTGTGAAAGAAGAGGGCTTGTCATCCCTGTGTGACTGATAACCCAGACACATATCACTGTGTCAGAAGAGGGCTTGTTACCCTCCAGTGAATGATAAACCAGAGACATATCACTGTGAAAGAAGAGGGCTTGTCATCCCTGTGTGACTGATAAACCAGAGACATATCACTGTGTCAGAAGAGGGCTTGTTACCCTCCAGTGAATGATAAACCAGAGACATAACACTGTGACAGAAGAGGGCTTGTCATCCCTGTGTGACTGATAAACCAGACATATCACTGTGACAGAAGAGGGCTCGTTATCCCTGTGTGTCTTATAAACCGGTCATATCACTGTGACAGAAGAGCTGTGTCGGAAGAGGGCATGCTTCCCCTGTGTGACTAATAAACCAGAGACATATCACTGTAACAGAAGAGGGCATGTTACCCCTGTGTGACTGATAAACCTGGAACATATCACTGTGTCGGAAGAGTGCATGCTACCCCTGTGTGACTAATAAACCAGACATATCACTGTGACAGAAAAGGGTTTGTCATCATTGTGTGACTGATAAACCAGAGACATATCACTGTGTCAGAAGAGGGTTTGTTATCTCTGTGTGACTAATAAACCAGACATATAAATGTGACAGAGGAGGACATGATATCCCTGTGTGACTGATAAACCAGACATATAAATGTGACAGAAGAGGGCTTGTTATCCCTGTGTGACTTATAAACCGGTCATATCACTGTGACAGAAGAGGGCTCGTTATCCCTGTGTGACTTATAAACCAGAGACATATCACTGTGTCAGAAGAGGGCTTGTTATCCCTGTGTGACTCAGATAAACCAGTCATATCACTGTGACAGAAGAGGACATGTTATCCCTGTGTGACTGATAAACCAGAGACATATCACTGTGACAGAAAAGGGTTTGTCATCATTGTGTGACTGATAAACCAGAGACATATCACTGTGTCAGAAGAGGGCTTGTTATCCCTGTGTGACTTATAAACCAGAGACATATCACTGTGGCAGAAGAGGGCTCGTTATCCCTGTGTGACTGATAAACCAGATATATATCACTGTGTCAGAAGAGGGCTTGTTATCCCTGTGTGACTCAGATAAACCAGTCATATCACTGTGACAGAAGAGGACATGTTATCCCTCTGTGACTGATAAACCAGAGACATATCACTATAACAGAAGAGGGCTTGTTATCCCTGTGTGACTGATAAACCAGAGATATATCACTGTGTCAGAAGAGGGCTTGTTATCTCTGTGTGACTGATAAATCAGACATATAAATGTGACAGAAGAGGGCTTGTTATCCCTGTGTGACTTATAAACCAGTCATATCACTTTGACAGAAGAGGGCATCCTACCCCTGTGTGACTAATAAACCAGACATATAAATGTGACAGAGGAGGACATGATATCACTGTGTGACTGATAAACCAGAGACATATCACTGTGTCAGAAGAGGGCTTGTTATCCCTGTATGACTGATAAACCAGAGACATATCAATGTGACAGAAGAGGGCTTGTTACCACTGTGTGACTCATAAACCAGAGACATATCACTGTGACAGAAGAGGGCATGTTATCACTGTGTGACTGATAAACCAGACATATCACTGTGTCAGAAGAGGGCTTGTTACCCTCCAGTGAATGATAAACCAGAGACATATCACTGTGAAAGAAGAGGGCTTGTCATCCCTGTGTGACTGATAAACCTGAAACATATCACTGTGTCGGAAAAGGGCATGCTACCCCTGTGTGACTACATATAAATGTGACAGAGGAGGACATGATATCGCTGTGTGACTGATAAACCAGAGACATATCACTGTAACAGCAGAGGGCTTGTTATCCCTGTGTGACTGATAAACCAGAGACATATAACTGTGTCAGAAGAGGGCTTGTTACCCCTGTGTGACTGATAAACCTGAAACATATCACCGTGTCGGAAGAGGGCATGCTACCCCTGTGTGACTAATAAACCAGACATATAAATGTGACAGAGGAGGACATGATATCACTGTGTGACTGATAAACCAGAGACATATCACTGTAACAGAAGAGGGCATGTTACTCCTGTGTGACTGATAAACCAGACATATAAATGTGACAGAAGAGGGCTCGTTATCCCTGTGTGACTCAGATAAGCCAGTCATATCACTGTGACAGAAGAGGGGTTGTTATCCCTGTGTGACTGATAAACCAGAGACATATCACTGTAACAGAAGAGGGCATGTTACCCCTGTGTGACTGATAAACCAGAGACATATATCACTGTGGCAGGACTCAGAAGAAGGCATGTTATCCCTGTGTGACTGATAAAACCAGAGACATATCACTGTGTAAGAAGAGGGCTTGTTATAACTGCGTGACTGATAAACCAGAGACATATTTCACTGGGGCAGGACTCAGAAGAGGGCATGTTACCCCTGTGTGACTGATAAACCAGAGAAATATCACTGTGACAGAAGAGGGCTTGTTATCCCTGTTTGACTGATAAACCAGAGACATATCACTGTGACAGGACTCAGAAGAGGACATGTTACCCCTGTGTGACTGATAAACCAGAGACATATCACTGTGACAGAAGAGGGCTTGTTATCCCTGTTTGACTGATAAACCAGAGACATATATCACTGTGGCAGGACTCAGAAGAGGGCATGTTATCCCTGTGTGACTGATAAACCAGAGACATATCACTGTGACAGAAGAGGGCATGTTATCCCTGTGTGACTGATAAACCAGACATATCACTGTGACAGAAGAGGGCTTGTTATGCCTGTTTGACTGATAAACTAGTGACATATATCACTGTGGCAGGACTCAGAAGAGGGCATGTTACCCCTGTGTGACTGATAAACCAGAGACATATCACTATGACAGAAGAGGGCATGTTATCCCTGTGTGACTGATAAACCAGACATATCACTGTGACAGAAGAGGGCTTGTTATGCCTGTTTGACTGATAAACTAGTGACATATATCACTGTGGCAGGACTCAGAAGAGGGCATGTTACCCCTGTGTGACTGATAAACCAGAGACATATCACTATGACAGAAGAGGGCATGTTATCCCTGTGTGACTGATAAACCAGACATATCACTGTGACAGAAGAGGGCTTGTTATGCCTGTTTGACTGATAAACTAGTGACATATATCACTGTGGCAGGACTCAGAAGAGGGCATGTTACCCCTGTGTGACTGATAAACCAGAGACATATCACTATGACAGAAGAGGGCATGTTATCCCTGTGTGACTGATAAACCAGACATATCACTGTGACAGAAGAGGGCTTTGACTGATAAACCAGAGACATATATCACTGTGTCAGGACTCAGAAGAGGGCATGTTATCCCTGTGTGACTGATAAACCAGAGACATATCACTGTGACAGAAGAGGGCTTGTTATCCCTGTATGCTACAGATTAGAAGATTAGGGCTTGTTAAATATCCCTCTGTGACTTTCAAGAGACAAATCTGAGACATATTTCTGTATCGGCCATTTATCCTTCTATGGCTATCATATGAGACAAAAACTGAGACAGACATATCACTATGACGAGAGCTTATTAGCAGTGTGATTTAGTAGTTCTCTAGGGTATCTGGGGTTGAACCGAAAACACATTATGCCCCAGTACGCTATCAATTAGACACCTGTGATGAAATGAAACCCACTACTTAATCATTAGATATATATAAGCGATACTGTAACAAACATATATATATACGTACCCCTATGCCTGCCACGAAGCGCCGATAAAATCCATTTTCTCTGTTTTCATGTTATGTACACTTTTGATTAAATGTCTTTCATGGTAGTAATATAACAGTGATATTTCCCCATGATCTTTCTTAGAAAACTGCCAGATATAAGTCGTTGTAGATAGAACACAGCGCGATGTCTTTCACACAACGTGTCGTCTGCTCGTCTCGATTGGGGACAGACTGCTGCAGCCTCCACATTTCACATCTACACAGGAAATGCACACTCTAGAACGCCACACGCCAAGCGCTCACTCACTCGTCGGATGGGAGGGACGTTTTTTTTTGCTCTCTCCCGGAAATGAACCACCCCAAACTTCAAACAGTACTATGTGTGTCCCAAAACCACCTTGGTCAATGGAAGGCCATTGTGTAGGATTTAATTACAACCGACAAAAATACTGAATAAATCATGTGTACTGTTAGTGAAAAATCGATAATATCGACCAAGACAATTCCCGTGCTGTGTGAGCACACTATAGTACGACACAGTATCAGAACTGCAAACCCCGACTACGTATACATCACCCCAGTCTCCCGTCACTCGGCTCGTGCCGCCGATCTCGTCAGCCTCCCAACCCCAGCGCCTCCCTCAAAACGCTTGGACACCATAACGTCACGTAATCTACGTTTTTGACTGTAAATTTGCCAATGTAGAATTTTTGCTTTGTGAACAATTTTCGAACAAATCTGCAGCCAGCTAGATATATAGGACCTTGACGAGACGATTTATAACGAATTTTTTTTAAATCTTAGGATAGAATCACTTTGCCAAGAAATGTGATGAGGTCTGTGTGTATAAACGTTACCGTCCCTTCGTCGATAAGATGCTATCTGTGCACGTGTGTTCTCATATATGTGTGGGTAAGCGTATATATATACTCATTCACAACAAGTATTGGATATTAGATAGTAGCAGGGGTGAGGATATGGGACGTCCAGTATGTAATTATATACTTTACACAGCCACGGACTTAGATAACTAATCTAAAATAAAGCCGTGTCAAGTGAAATATCTTTCCGATTTTCAAAATTATATAGTCACTCGTATATATTTTCAGCACTTGAAGCATAATTATTATTGTCGTTATCACTTTTGTGGAATAGTATTAGTTAAGTTCTTTTTCCATGTACACATTGTGTACATCTCAACTTGCGATACATTATACACTGATAATATTCGTAGTTAATCAAAAATTGAATAAGGCCTACACTGGCACTTGAATAAAGAGATAAACGTATAATCAAATAAATAAATAACACAGAGAGGTCAAACTCATGACTTCTGTATCCATTTTCAATGCTACACCTATTACTGATATTACTATCCACGAATTTTAACGGCCCGACATCAAGATGATGGATGAATACATTGAGGAGGGAGATAACTCTTACCTAGAAAAACCCGTTTGTTGCTTCATCTTCTACAGAATGGAGATCACACGAAGTCCAACATGTAGAGGAACTCTTCTTTGCGTTGAATCTAGTATGGAGATCACACGAAGTCCAAAATGAAGAGGAACTCTTCTTTGCGATTAAATCTAGTGCCAGTGATCTCCTTAACTAAACTTCAGAAAGTTTTGTTTGTTTTCTATGGGGTTAAACGTCCTCGCAGCAACCAAGGTCACAGGCGGACGGGTGCATGCTACAGTGTAGTTAGCCTGAAGACCCCAGCCGTAAAGAAAGAAAAAAGAAGTAAGAATAGAAGGGATATAGATCCTCAGTATTGCAATGGGCAGTAGACCAATGTTGGTCTCTCCGGTGTCCTCTTGGCAGAGACACAGAAAAAAATCCGACTTTTTTAGGGGATCCCTCATTAGTCGCCTCTTACAGGCAGTGAGATACTGTAGGGTAAAACTTCTGAGCGCACAACTGAGTATGCTGGATTCACCAACCATATATACAGGACTTGAACAATGATGTTCTTGAAGTTGTCGATAGAGAAAGACAGTCATGTCATAGATTCTTTTTCTCTGGAACAAATCGTTTTCATGCAAGAAATGTGACAGTCGGTGGGATTTTACATTAATGGAAACTGACATCTTCGATACTCACAAGAGGGTTAAGCTCATGTATGCTTTCTGCACCACAGGAATATGCAATAGACACGTGGCTAGCTATTTGATTGGTCTCGGATAAAAAAAAAAAAAAACACCTGACCAATCGGTAGGCTGATATCTGCCATTTGAAGAGTGCAGAGGAGCGACACTCGATTTCAAAGCCGGTCAATTTTACCGTTACCCTGGCGCGGGATTCTTTTGATGTACATCAAAAGTACCAAACTCGTTTTCTTATTACTGTATCATCCACACGCTGGTACACCTTGAGCCTTCGATTTTGTCATGACATTTAGTCCAGGGATGCAGAGAGCGTACATGAGCTTAACCCTTGTAGTATCGAGGATGGGGAACTGAAGGAAATATATCATTAAGTGGACACAACATCCATGACTGGCATTATCACGATGTTTGCTTGTAGTCACGGTAACAAATGAACGATATTGCCGCCATTGACGATGAAAGCTTCGCCCATTGAGAAATAATTAATTACTCGAATTAAACTAAAATAAACAGTCTATTTGCATGTTCAGTACGTTTCATATACAATTTTTGTGATCTGAAAACACTGACGAAATACAATTTTAAGCACCAAGGGTCTAATACAAGAATGATAAATCCTGGATTGCGGTTGCAGAAATGGCTGTATAGTGGGCGTGTTAGAGCTTTAATCGAAACAAGAGGATAAATCAAAACCGAATAGAATCTCACAATATATAAACTACTGCTTGTAATTGTACAATGTCTAATATGTATTTGTGCAACCTATCCATGCACATGCCTATTGCGCCGATACGGTCGTCTGGTGGCTCAGTGGTTAACGCACTCGCCTTTCACCAAGACAGCCGGGGTTCGATTCCCCGTTCGGACGTGAAAGGGTATTGGGTCACCTGCCGGACCACGTAGGTTTTCACCGGATACTCATGTTTCTTCCGACATTAAGACCACCTGCGTTATTCCAACCGGGACATCAGGAGTGATTAATATAAGTTGATAGAACTTGGTTTGCAACTGTCGTAAAATAGATAAAAGTTTGGCTTAATATTCCGATATGAAGATCGACTTTTTTGATAATGTTCAATAGTGTGCCATTTTATTCGGCTCTCACAAAACGAGTACGTGGCATTACTTAGTTTTGACCTGGATTTACAGAATGTACATGTCGTCGATGAAGTAGAAGGCGCTTACCCTTCTGGAACACCTGGTCTTTTCTTCTCGTACGTTTTCAATGGTCTCTATACAACTCTCTCATTTGCTCATACTTTGTCGATTTTGGAAGCGCTCAGGGTTTTTTTATGTGGGAGGAAACTACTGCGACTACCAGAAGAAAACCCCACAGCGTACGGGTAGGGCAGGTGACCCAATACCTTTGCATACCCGATTGAATTTCAAACCCCGATCGTTTTTGTGAAAGGCGAGTGCGCTATTCATTGCGCCAACCGACTACCCAATATTTGATAATTTACAAGAAATAGCAATATTAAAAGATAAATGATTTTTTTTTATCAATTTTATATAATTTATTTATATAATATTACCAAACCTACCTCTTTTAGAAAGCTTGGATCACCTGTTTCAACTCACGTCAGTGGTACCCAAAGAAACCTATACCGTCACTGTACCAAAATCTTGTGGGAAAACGGCCCAAGAAACTGTCATTCAATGCAAAGAAGCACTTTTATGTATACAGTTTTCATTTGATAATACTTTTCATGACAATTAAACTGTATTTAGCTTTGTTGGCTGCTGATTATCGTTACATGGACAATTTAAATGCAAGAATAATTTCCAAAACAAGACCTTACTGATCAGCGTTTCGTGCGACGCTATTTATTTTGATATCATTTTCAAATGTCTATTTTATCAAATCTAATGCTAGTTTGGAGAAGAAATTCAATCAGAACCCTCGTTGACTCTAAACTATTTCAACTACATGTATGCATATTTTCTTCATATATATCCCCAAATATTTGTAAAAATACCAGAAGTGTCCCTTCCAGGGTACAGTAACGCCGGTTCAAGGGCCTACGTAACTCTGATGGTATTTCGCGTTCTTTTTATAGAACCACGCACCCGAAATATCAAATTAGTATAGAAATGAAAAGTGGATAGTACCTATTGATGAAAAATAAACAAACATTTTTGGAACTGATTTTATGGTATAAAGAACATTGACATGTATCTAAAAAGTGTCCCGATTTGGGTATAGTGACGTTAGAACCTGCAGTATGCAGTGCACAGTCAGACATCACAGAATGCCAGAAAGCTCATGTTTGATTTCGACTATTTCGATGCGTGTATCTCAACTTATTCTGCCTGGCGGATATTCTACCATACGAACTTAAAAAAGAACAAACCTTTGTCCAAATCTTGTCTGAATTGTTCTTAGTCTGCAGCATTGAAAAAAACGTGTTCTGGAATCTGCTAAACGTAGTGACGTCAAAATAAGAACGGAAATGACGTCATTAATTTCCACAGGAACATTAAAAATGTTTGGGCACCTGGGCGAGGAAAATGTTCGCTTTTGACCATTTGTCTTCCCGTCCATATATTTCATTCGTTTTTTGGTGTTTTGCCATTCGCCCTGGTACCGCGTGTTTTGTTCCGCTTCCCTCCTGATGAATTATCTCAGAACCGATTTATCAAGAACCGAAACGATAACAGTTTACCCTTTTATATGAAGGGTTTGAATTTCACTTTCGAATGGTATGCATTCAAATAAATTTCAACAATTGCCATACTGTCCAAAACGACTTTAATAACAATATTTCGGCCGATTTTGACCTGGTCTTTCCTCTATTTCGAATCAGTTTGAACGGAAGGAATTAATGGTGTTTTTTCGGTATTCACAAATTATGGGGAACGTGTAATCGATCCATTACGCAAAAATGAAGTTTTAATTCCAGTTACATATCTTCCAGAACGATTCTCCCCCAATTACATCATAATAACCACAGACCGGGACTAGCACAGCTGCCCATCTTTACCCTGGGGCTTTAAGCAATACCCTTCGGGATTATATGACCATCATATTCCATATTATTTTCCAATACATATCGTATATAATTGGTCATATCGCGTTTCAATTATATATACGTCACTCAACTTTTCGCCGGTAAAGGTCATTAGCGATCATCGGCCGGAATTCTTCTGTCAACAATACATGTACCACATGAATGCAGCGGTAAATATTGAGACAAAAAATGGAAAATATGCGCAACAATAATCGTCGAGTCTATGCGAATCGTCACACGGGACGTGTTGAGTTTCAGTTTTTATATATATATTCTAAATATGTACAAAACTAAATACCCTTCGGAAACATTAAAGCCACATGTCCGTATTATTTTTTCTCTCTCCAAATATCTAAAATCTCAGAAACGGTTTTGTCACAGACATATGTGACAAATGTCAGACCGTATTGTCATTTTCCCGTTGCAACACGCTGTGCACCAGTTTCTGTACAACGTCACTGTATAGCGGATGAAAGTTGTTTGTTTTCCTACATATGCATGAGTGAAACAATCAGAAGGTGTTAGAAGGCAAAGCAAAGCATATGAGAGCGGCGTTCTGCTAACTATGTTGGGAAGGTTCACGGTTCGAATCTAAGTCTCTCCGTACATGTTCATGTTCCGCCTCAATCCTAATTACAATTATATAGAATACGTCCCCACAGTGTAAACTCTTTTCACATTGGAACTCGTAAACTGTTTAGTGTTGATCTTAACAGTGCCAGTTCATTTTGATAGACAGGTGTAAATTCGTAAAAGTCTTCAAATCTGTGATGGGCAATACCAACATGGCGCAAGCACGAACAATAGACCAGAATGCGCTTGAAGCGCCCAACTATGCGCCGTAAAACCCAATTCCTGCTGCATCCCTGTGACGTCTCAGACAATTGTGTTTGCTTATACGGTTGAGAGTCCTCTTTTAAAACAGATAGTTAAAAAGGTCATGTAACATCCATCAGGCATCCTTGTGTGCAATGTTTATGTTTGTGCTGGAGGGAGTGTTTTGGTATATTTGCCACCTTGCATTCTCGAAATTCCAGAGGTAACGCTTACTTACTTACGTCTTCACCCCTGCAATATGTTATGACAAATTAAAAGTCTCAAAGCTAGTTATTTGATTGGTTTAAGGCGGCAAAAAAACACCTTTCCAATCGCTAGATTGATAACTGTCCTTTGAAAATTGCAGAGGAGCGACACTGGCCTTTAAAACCAGTCAATTTTACCGTTACGCTGCCGCGCGATCCTTTCGATGAACCATCTACTAGGTATTACACATAGGATGGCGCGTGCAGACTCTTTATATCTGCCATGACTCTTTCTTTAGCAAAGAACTAATAAAGGGAGCATAGCCCTGGAATTCCGCCGGACGACCGCCTTGCTACATGTACAGCGTTGATCTGATGTTGATTTCGGAGTGCTACCCCACTGAAATAGGGGACGTACATTTTGTATATGATCATGGCGTGAAGTTTTACATAATGAGGTGGTTATTTGATATTTTTTATCAGGAGTATGCGTCTGACCTATAGAGTGACCTGTTTTACCGAGCCGTCCTCCCCCAAAATTTCTTTATTTAAAGTACTGTATATTTCATAATATCATGTGCAAGAAAAGGTTCACCTTGCTGTATATTTCATAATATCATGTGCAAGAAAAGGTTCACCTTGCCTGCATACCCAATAAAACAGGGCTTTTATCTCCGGACCCATTTAATTAATGCTCCCTCTCCCTCCTAAATCCTTGATCCAGATCAACCTTCGCCTTCATTATCACGTCGTGTACTGACCAATTGCCACCAATAATGAAAATAGAAAATGAAGAAAATTGCAAGAAATCATAAATGTACAAGTTGATACAGCTGGTTTTTCATTTTTCCTAGAATGATTTATTTATATGTAGCCTTTAGACATTGGCATCATACCAATGGTGGGTAAATTAGTCCGATTGATCAGTAGGCAATTCAAAATGTATCTTCCAGCTAAAGTGCAGTCATTTAAAAATTCACGATCTTTTCATTATAAACTCTTTCAATTTGGCAGCTATATCTCTGCTGTATTTCCTTTTTTTTCATTTCAGAAATAGGATACAAACTCGGACAATACTGTGGGGGAGTTTTTAGGTCACCTGAGACAAAGTCTCAAGCGACCTATTGCGATCACCTTTTGTCCGGTGTCGTGCGTCCATAAATAATTTACATTTTCGACTTCCTCTCAACATCTACTGAACCAATTGTAATGAAATTTTGCAGGAACCTTCCATGGCCAAAGGTCAACCAAAATTGTGAACTATATGGTACCCAGCCCCCAGGAGCTTGAGGGGCGGGGCAAAAAATGGTCAAATTGACAAAAATTTCAAAAATCTTCTTCTCAAGACCCAGATATGGTAGAATCAATTACTCTTCATAGATGGAAGGGTCTTAAGGTGCTTTACCAAAATTGTGAATTTCATGACCCTGGGGTCTCATGTTTCCCCCTGGGGAGGGGGCAAACTCTTTACCATAGTTTATATAGAGAAATCACATTTTTGACCAACAGTTGTTTAATTTCCATTGGAAAAAATTCAATTTGGGTTAGCATTATCAGTATTGGAAAGCAGGTCGATGGTATGCACAGATCAGCCCTGACTGACCCCCAGGGGCTGATGGGTGGGGCCAAAATGGGTTGAATTGACTGAAATTTCAAAAATCTTCTTCTCAAGACCCAGATAGGGTAGAATCAAATATTCTTTAAAGATTGAAGGGTTTTAAGGTGCCAAAATTATGAATTTTATGACCCTGGGGTATCATGTTTATCCCTGGGAGGGGGACAAAATTTATTATGGTTTATATTGGCAAATGATACTTTGGATATTACATGTCGATAACTTGATTGGAATTATAACCCCGAGTTGACAGTTTGATACTTTTAGAATTTTGAGCCAGCCCTACCCCGAAGGGCTGTAAGGCGGGGCCCAAAGGAGTCGGCGTGCTTGAATTTCTTTTTTTTCCATTTTTCTTGTTTAGAATCAGAGGTGCTAGTTTCAAATACTTTTCAGTCTTAAATCTGTATGATAGATATTAAAAAAAGGTGGTTTTATTGTTTTTTGTCACTTTGAATATTTCTGTTCATGTTTTAAAAACAAAAATCAAATCCCTGTATAAATATATCAGAACTCAGGTGACCGTTAAGGCTCATTAGCCTGTTGTTTAAGAGAATCAAACTTTTTTATAAACGGGTACTAGGCGACCAATACGTCAATGCAAACAGGATTGTTGTCAGGGTCCTGTCCCAACCCCAACGACTTAGTCCCGGAGTCGGGGCATGAAATCAGTTAAGATCCCTACCCTATAACCATAAATACAGTTGCTGGGCTTGCTACAATACTTGCTTGGTAGGCAATGCAGGGATGTACTGGTGAACAAAGTACTTCAGTCAGTGGCTCACCATTAAGCTATTGAGGTGGTTTAAAACTCATGTTTGCATTTGGTGTATGTCCCCCTTTTTTTTTTTTGAAATTTTGTCCTTTATTCTTTGTGAAGACAAAATCTTATGTGCTATATAGTAAGTATAAGGGATGAATTCTGATCTTGGAACATTGATTTTCTTTAAAGGTTCAATGGCAAACATTTTAAAGCAAAAACATATTTCCAGTAGATTGATTTAACATAGCAATAGGCATTACATAGCTGTTTTTTAAGATCATATCAAGACCAAAGACAAATGAACAGGAAATAAATTATTTATTGTCCAAAGATTGAGTGACTCTAGTACGGAGAGCGTTGATCCTCCCAGGAGTCATCTGGTGAAGGGCTACGACCTCTGGCCGGGATTTAGAGGGCGTCACTCGTATCTCCATGATGCAGAGTAGCTCTATCAATTTCTGTTGACACTGTTGTAAGCCCTGTAATATATGTTGTAATAATAACCGATTTAAAACAGCCGATTTATCCAGAAATAAGCCCAGGGGGTATACACAAATCTCTAACTCAAAGTAGCTAGCTATAGTGGGATGGGTTATTTACAGCATAATGAAATATAGCATCCATTGACATTTCTAATTAACTCCACTAGATATATGGGTGGGCTTATTGCCATAGAAATAAGATTATAAATTCGTAAAAAAGTTTGACTAAGTTTATTTTATTTAGAATTCAGTTATCATTTGTTGAGTCTAATATGTTCACTAAAAGATAACTTAGTTTTTTGTGGGAGTGCATGAGAACTGCAAGTGATTTTCAGATTTGAACATATTGCATTGTTTAGGTAATATTGTAAGATATCACTTTATAATTTATTTAATGCAATTTAACAAGAGCACTTTCCAGTAATGGTATATATACTTGATACTTGATCAATAAGCCTTGATACCAGGGTGAGTACATACCTCCACAAGTACATCTTTGATGCTGGGATCGTGTTTCGACCTTTTTTTCATCACCTGTCAAAATAAATTGACAAAATCATAGCAGATGTATTTATATATTTAACATTGAGAAACAAAAATTTTATCAACAGAAAATAACATAGTATTGAAATAGGATAACATTCCAAGTGACAGTTCTTCGATCTTGATCGATCATTAGAATCACATTTTTTTATTTTTTTTTTATTTTTTTATTTACAAACAAAATGAGTATCGGTTTATAGATAGCCCCGTCCTCCGAAAATTTTGTCTTAAATCAGGTAAGTCTTTAATCCTTTACTGATTATTTTCATTAGATGAAAGGTAAGATTCTTACCATGCTGTCAGGAGCTGAAAATCCAATCAGACTTGTCAAAACCTAAACCACAAAAGAAAAGAAAGGCTTAAATCAGCGTTAAGTGTTTTGCTTGTTTTCTTTTGCTAAAAGAACAAAAAAGAAGACTTGTTCTTTCACGAAAACTGGATTTAGTGATAAATTTTATTTCCAATGTAAACAAAGTCTAATGAAAAGTAATACAATATCCAAAATTGATGAAAATATCACGACTACAAATTTTTTGAGTTTTGTACCAAGGGAGGCAACTCAACTTCACCAGTTACATTTTTACCAAGCTTATGATCATCCCTTCACTGTATCTGTTAATCTGTTTTTGATAATTAATTGTGTGAGTTAGAGACAATATAATCGAAACTTGGAAAATCAATCACTGACAGTTCTAAAATTATTGAAGATTATTGAAGATTTTGGACATTAACCTCAAACAGGAATTATCTTTCATAAAATTGTATATTTTATTTCCTTGATAGAAATTTCTTGAAAGCAATAATTCTACTTATACGTATGTATTATCCAGTATTATGGAGAGAAACCGTGACCTACCCCGCTGGAAAGGTCAACGTCCAGACTGTCTGACCCGTCGTTAATCTTACAGGCCAGTGTCCACTCCTTCCCACCAGAGCTGTCTAGTCGACCAATTAGAGTTGAGATGTAAGCCTGAAGGTAGATTTTATAATCATATAATATACTGATATTCATTTTACATACATTTCTATTGCACAGAATTTCACTCAATCATCAGAATCATCATTTAGTATAGAAATGGAAAAAAATAAGTTTCACACGATTGGAACACTTTGGTGAAGAAAGAACATTGCATAGCAGAGCATTAAATGTATTTTTTTAATGAGAAATACAATAGTCAAAAGTGATCGTAATGTTGCTGCATTAACTATCAGAACTGAAATGTAAATGAATCTGAAACAGAAAGATTACAACAAGAGGCCCAATGGGCCTGAATCGCTCACCTGGTATTAATCTCACACTTGTAATCTAAAAAGAGGGCTAAAATACAACTACAGGCAGAATATCAGTGTTTGATTCATAAGAACCCATTAAAAGATTTAAACATATGGTGCCTGTGACCTTGAATGTTGAACAAGGACATTAGGTTGAAAGTTGGTCAAGGTCATTCATTTGATCAAACTTTGTAGTCCTTCATCCCAGCATGCTACAGCTGGCCCAATTTCAGTACCCTGGGCCTTTTGGTTATTCAGAAGAAGTAGTTTGAAGAATTTACGACATTCGACACCTGCGACCTTGAAAGTGGGTGAAGGTCATTCATTTGAACAAACTTGGTAGCCCTTCATCCCAGCATGCTACAGGCCCAATATCAGTACCCTGGGCCTTTTGGTTATTGAGAAGTTGTTTGAATACTTTAAGACATTTGACCCCTGTCACCTTGAAAGTTGGTCAAGGTCATTCATTTGAACAAACTTGGTAGCCCTTCATCCCAGCATGCTACAGGCCAAATATCATCATCCTAGGCCTTTTGGTTACTGAAAAGAAGCTGTTTAAAATAACAAGAGGCCCATGGGCCTAAACGGTCACCTGAGTCCTACAGTATTTATTTTTGTTGTTGAAATATGTACCAATTTGAGTACAAAATAGTTAAGTATAACGTTACCTTAAGTTTGTCTGGACCATGAGCTGATCATTCCTAGACCGAGTTTCAGTTAAACTGTCCTATTAGAACTTGTTTTTAAGTTTGAAATAGTTTTTTCAAAATGGCGTCTGTGGCGGCCATATTGAATTTCTGATCGACCCGAAAAATAATAACAATTTGTCAGGACCATGAGTTGATCATTCCTACAAAGTTTCAGTTCAATCGGCCCCGCAGAACTTGACTTTAAGTTTGAAATAGTTTTTCAAAATGGCGGCCGTGGCGGCCATATTGGATTTCTGATCGACCCGAAAAATAATAACAATTTGTCAGGACCATGAGTTGATCATTCCTACCAGGTTTCAGTTCAATCGGCCCAGCAGAACTTGCCTTTAAGTTTGAAATAGTTTTTAAAAAGTTGACGCCGTATAGACAGGCAGGTGAGCTAACAACGCCTCTTTTAGATGGAATTTCATTTCATTTCTTTCTCTCTCTATCTCTCTCTCTCTATATAAATTTTAGTAAGAGTTTCAAACCAAGAGACAAGTCTATGAAAATGACACATCCTCACAACAGCTAAAGCAATATGAAGATGGTGATAATTTTGCATCCACTAGTTAACCCATGCACCTCTATAAAGTCTTATTTGAATCTTACCAAATCAAACACTGGGTAAGTCCAGTTTAAAGATGTAGGGGTGAATGTTATACCTGATTCACCTAGACAAGCTACCATGGCACACCACCAGGTACCATCCTATGGACAACAGGCCCACCATTCCTTACTGCCAGTCACTATATACAGACAACAGGCCAACCATTCCTTACTGTCAGTCACTTTATACAGAGTACATGCAGGCCCACCATTCCTTACTGTCAGTCACTATATACAGAGTACAGGCCCACCATTCCTTACTGCCAGTCACTATATACAGACAACAGGCCAACCATTCCTTGCTGTCACCCATTCAAAGTTGAATATCCAAAGTCCTTTAATTTGTTCTTTACTTGATGTGTAGCTGTTGATAGGAGGTTTTAATGACTGGTTAGCCTGTTGTCTGTATATTGTGACCGGCGGAGTGTCATGCTTACTGGTCCAGGTTATGACATTCAGTGAGATGACACTTTGACAGGACACTGCCTCCATATAACCTCAGCTGTTCCGAGGATGCAAAACCTAAAACAATTCAATGGATTTACACTGACCTTGACTTTGAATGTAACACTGTCCTGTGGGGTCAGTTGTTTCTTCACAATAGACAGGTATGTGAACGGTTCAGCATCAATCCCTTAAATAAATCATTTATCAAATCAGTTATTTTTCACAAGTGCAACAGCTCTTGCTGTTATTGCTTTAAAGCAGCATTTTGGTTGGTAGGTTTTCTCTTTGAACTGTACAATATTAATAATACAGGATTTAAGGTGGAAATCACATATGAAAAATAAAGTTCTTATCGAAAAATAATCACGAACATTATACAGTACATGAAGAACAGCAAAGATGCAACACTGTTTATCTAGAAATTTTCGCTGCAGTTTAATTTTCTTAGCCTTTTTTTCATCCTCTGGAAAGAGGATGAATTAATCCTTACAGCAATCATCAGTCAACGATGTAACTTACATAGCAATTAAATGTGTAAGGCGAAATTAACACTGGGCGTGTTTGGATTTCATAGGCAAAGGGCCAAAGTTTGACTGGGCGGTATACAGTAATCTTAGTAAGAAGAATCTGTAATTATATTACCATAGGAAGTTTTGACCAAAGGGAAGTCTGTTAATTTTTTCTGTCCATCACAATTTTTCGCTGCATTTCCATTTTGCCCGATAGGTGATCCGTTGTCCATCCGTCTACTTGGAGGGGTCCTTACAAACTTGTCCAGAGTAACTTGACCACCACTGACCCTCCTGTTCACAACAGCTGAAGGACATACGATGCTGACCAGTGAGGGAGATTCTAATTTAACAGGTACGTTAACCACATTATCATCAATGGATGCTTTAGATGAAGTTGAAAATAACGGCTTTTTAACACTTTTCCCCATACCTCTTCCCACAAGCCTTTCCTGGCTATTTTGTGTGTTTAATTCAAGGGGAGACAACAATTTTTTAACCTTTTCCCCAGCATTTTCTCCAACAGAAATCTCAAACGTATCCGGTTCATTTTTAACCATTGGTTTGGATATCACTTTTGAATTTGAAGCACTTCTATTCACAATTACTGAAGATGGAACATCATCAAAATCATCAAAGTCATCCTCGAAGTCGTCATTGAACATGGAATCATAGTTTGATGGCATCGAAGCCTCTTTCACACATGCACTAGAACTGTCACTAAGTTTTTGTCTCTTTCGATTTGGCGCCTCTTCAGGAGAAGGTCTTCTATCTGCTCTCGAGTCAGAAATCAAATTCCTTAAAGAAACATTTTCGTTGTATTTTGATTGACCGTTCTGTTCCTGCTTCAGCCCACCATTTGTGTAGGATCCACGGTAAGACTGGGCTGATGTGTTCTTGTTCTGTTGAACATTCCTAGCCGTGGACAAATTGTTGTTTCTGCTGTTTGCTGCAGTGGCGGACTGGGTGTTGGTCCCGTTGCTTGATACAACCCTGTTGGTGTTATTGTTGCGGTGACCAGGTTGTGGCATGTCCATACCGTCCAGTTCATCCATCATCTCGTCCATTGGCAAGTCTTCCATGTCCCACTGTAACAGACAACCCGAATATGATACTGGGTACATGTATTATAAAAAATACCTTAAATATTCGCTTTAAGTCAGCAATTTTTTTTTTCCGCGGATGGGGGTGGGGGGGTGTGAAATGATAATTTCATCAAGAAAGGGGTACACACTATACTCAAGAACAATCCAAAACAAGTCCTGCGTCGCGACAATTTATTATAAATTTTTCGGGGATTTTCGAAAATATTTTGAAATATATTTTACCATTACAAAAAGTTGTAAGTTAGAGTCATAATACTCAATACAATCGCATATATAAACTCTTCAGCAGTAGGCCTAACTTTCAGGTCTCTTCGACGTTACGTTGTGCATAATTAATACAGCAAATGTGAAAATGAGCTGACAAATTACATCGTAATTACTAATTTGTACTCTTGAGGTTAAAAATGCTGTTCTTGGGTAAAATGATGCTGAAATATTCAATCATGGCAGCTCGAATGTGCCAAAACGACATCTGGAACATTGTATGTTTATAACAAACTTGCCAGGCACTAAGATACTGTGTCAAATGAAAACATCTTTATAACAAGTCAGAGTGCTTTTACATCTATCTAGCAAATGATTTATAAAAATAATACCTGAGACTAAGATTGTGCACATAGTAAAAAGTCTTTATATCAACCTTGTTTGGGAATCGGGTACTTAGATTCTGTACAGAAAAAAACATCTTTAAAGATACTGTGTATGGTGTAGCATCTTTATAGCAGACCTGCACGGCCCCGGAGAGTCGGGACAAGATCCAGAAGATAATTCATGATTCTACAGGGGGACCCAACATAAGTTGCCTCATATAAAAAGTGGGATAGAGTAGTGATAGGCAATCGGTTAAAAGCATAATCGATAATCGGTTTATAATCTGAAGTACCGGTAGTAAATCGATCGATGATAGATTGCATAATCGGTTTATAATTTTATGGGACTGAATACCCAGTTAAAGTGAGAATGCTACTAGTACATCGACAGACAGAGTTGTTAGGTAAATATACCCTGAGTTTCACTCTTTTATAATGAATGGGTTTCAAACAACTTTCATGCCTTTTTATTAATCATATAGTACGAATCATAAGAATATATGACTTTTAAACCAAACTTTACATGGAAGACATTTAAACACTTTGATTTCAATGATGAACTGATTATATCGATTATGGAATTTATAATCGATAATCAGAATCAGGAATGGGAAAATGATTTTGATTTTTTCTTATACTCGATCATTAGTCAATCACAAGGAGATTATTTTTGTATTTTCCTGAACCTGCACAGAGTGGGTTGCTTTTAAAGCTGACTATTCTTTACATCTCACAAATCAATAATAATAATAATAATAATAATTGGAGGTTCTTATATACCGCTTTATCACATCCTAGTTCGTAGGTCGTCTCAAAACGGTTCACAAATTATTATCCGTGGTTATAGGGCCTTTGTAACCAGCCAATACATTTCTCAACTCCCTGGGGAGCATATATACAGCCAATCAGAAAGTACGGAGAAATAAAATTTCTTCATGCTTAAGCATTAATTAATATTCATGAATATGGCACCTACCTCATCTAAAACAGCATCTTCAACCAAAGGTTTGATACTGGAACTGGGTCTTGAGTTCCCCCCTATAAAGTGACATCACAAAATGATTAATTCAGTTAACAAGAAAATAAACTATTACAGTATCGGTGCACTATTTCCTCTCGTCTTTCTTTTATTTTATTCTAACGAAAGTAACAACAATATTGATGTTGGACTCCGTACCCTGAAGCATAAAATCTATGATGAAAGAACATATATATAGTAAAATGACCACACTGCAGTAACAAAAAATATTTTTTATTCATCGAAACTTTTAATATGACCCTGATATGTGAAATAGCATGAGGTATTGGAGGACTGAATATTTGTCTGAAGATCTAACAGTGATCTACATCAAACCAACCCTGGTGATGTTCATTTAAAGGTATGATAGGGGATGGAAAATTTGATAGAGGATGACAATTGTACTTGTTTCAAGCCTATTTACCAGTAAAGTAAAATAGATTTAGTGTTAAAGAAATCCTCTCACAATTTTGTTTTTAGTGAATACAATTGATAGTAATTAAACAAATGTTTTGTTTATATATATACCATATTGGATGGTCATGTACAATGGATATAGATTTATATACAATTTATCATAATGATTACATGTTGACAACAAGAGTACCGTGGGGCGGAACAATATATACACCCGTCGAATGCCATATAGTGTTATATACTTTCTTACATTGAAATAAGATCTGAATCATTCTAAGAGTGGTTAGCCGACATGATATAAGAAATGTAGGAGAAAATCTCCGGACAAAAAATCAAATACTGAAATGAACAAAGGGACAATAACTTTTTTGGAAAAATCGTCGAATCAAAATTCTTTGTAGGGAGACACAACTTCATATCATGATTATAATGTGTATCAATTGCAAGTTTCAAAGAGATCGGTAGCAAAATGTAGGAGGAGATTGCCGGACAAACAAAAGTTTACACCGGACGGACGACGCCATACCATAATACTCCCGTCAAATTTGATGGGCGCATAAAAACCATGATAATGTGTCTGATAACGTTTTCAAAAGAAGCTGCAATCAAACTGAAGCACTCCCTACAGTGCAGTGTGACAGACAGCCTTTGACATAAAACCATGTCGATTTTACTGTTTACCTGGCATTGCTGGGTTTCTGTTCATGGATGCAGATCCTCCCCTATTGTTAGGAGCTAAGGTAGAATTTCTGACAGATGACTGGCTAGGTTTGATGTCTGTGTCACTAAATTCCTGTCTGTGAACACTGCCAGCGTTATGCATACTTGAATCCCTGTAAATAGAAATCACAAAACGACCCCAGCTTTAATGATTAATGCACATAGGGAAGATTATATGTTATCAAAGTTTCATATTCATTTTTGCAATGACTTTCCTCCGATATCTATCGGTATTGCTTTTGGAAAATCACAATAAAAATATTCAGTAGATCAGATTTTTTGTAAAGTTTCATTTCTTCTCTATTTAAAGTGTTAACTGGCCAAGTCTTACTGAAGGACCCTGGATTTTATGTACTGTACTGATTGTAAGAAGGTCTTATTTCTGGATATCTTTGATGGTTAGATGTCAGACTTAAACTCAATGAATGATTTTAACCCCTTGAGAAATCATACCCATTCACTTAGTGCTCTCTTAAGGACTGTAAGCCACTGCCTTACAGTACCCCCTAGAGGGCTTTGAGCCATTGACTTACAGTGGTCCCTTGAGAACTATAAGCCATTAACTTGAGTGCCCAATAGATAAATTGCCCCATTAACCTACATTGCCCTCTGGAGAACTCAGACCCATTGACGTAAGTGCCCCATAGAGGATATTGCCCCATTAACTTACATTGCCCCCTGGAGAACTCAGACCCATAGAGGTAAGTGCCCAATAGAGGACTCTGATTCATTGATCATGACCAATTGACTTACAGTGCCCCCTGGATGATATTGGCCCAATGAATTATAGTGCGTCCTGGAGGAGTTTGACCCAATGACTTACAGTGCCCCCTGGATGATATTGGCCCAATGACTTACAGTGCGTCCTGGAGGAGTTTGACCTTTGTGTTTTCCTCCATTAGAGTGTCCACTTCCCCTCCCAGCACTTGGAGATTATTGTTGGTCAGAAACAGCACCCCTCTTCTACACAGCACAGAGCCACTGACAATCACCTAGGAGTAGAGAAGCGCAAATTATAGATATTTTCATAACCAATTGGCCCTAATGTTTGTACTCTATCAAACAAACTACGGATTAATTTTTGATAGGACCTGCTTCAACATATTTGTCTTCCATCATACTAAACCAGATTAGTCCAGGTGTAAAAGTCATTGGCTGTCCCTGAAGAGACCAGGATTCCATTCCCAGTACAAGCATGGAAATTTCAGCAATATCATTTTCTCAAAAGCCTTTCGGATAAAAACCAACAGATCCCACTTCATAATACATGTTACAGGACATCTCTGTAGATTTTCATCACAACATTTTCACCAATTTAGAATTTACAGCCCAGAGAATTTTAAGAGTAAACAAAATAGTTTTACCTTTTGACCTTAAAGGGAGATAGTCATGGTGACCTACATGTGAATACAGGTCACTGCACACTCCTTGTGGGTGATGTAGATGTAGATGAAGATACACTTCAAGACTTGTCAAGATAACTTAACTGTATAAAAGTTCATGTCCAGACAAACTTTCACAGGAAACTTGCACTTATTTGACCTTTGACTTTAAGGTCAATGTCACAGTGACTTAATTACAGTGCATTGGGTTTGTTTGAGTTTCACGTCCTATTAACAGTGCTATGCACAGTGCATGGTATGCTTTCAGCAGGTTTTTTCAGGTGAACTTGAGGTTTAATCAGGTGAAATTGAAGTAATGTTAAGATATGTTTTAAAAGTCATGGCCTGGATAAGATTTCATTAAAATAAGTGTCAGTGCTAATACAACATAGCTACATTTGTACCTTCACTAAAACATGACAAAGATTTTTTTTACTATAAATTACATCAATCTGATTAAAATCATATGTTACATGGCTTCGTTAACTTCGTACTACGCCTGAACATCTGAGTGTGCCGCAGTCAGGGTCACGTTCAGGTGACCTTTATATTTACAAATACTCATTAAATTTTGACCAATCAGAGACCCTCTTTCAAAAGGGCGCTCGGAGTTGTAACATATATGTCGGACATTGATGAGAATGATGCGAAAGTTATGAAGTTATTTGAGATTGATCATCTGAAACCAAACAGAAAAAGATATTCGAAGCTTTATTAGAGAAGAAAGACTATAGCGGTGTTGCCTACGCAATTATTACTCAGTGGGTACGTTTTCCTTGGCGTCGTAGAAACGTCAGTTCCCGCCGCCATATTTGTTTTGGAAAACTAATCTGTTCGATACCCCTCGCTATTTATCATCAACCATGATATTCCGATGTGCTGGCAAACTTTTGCCAGCGCGCCTCTGATTGGTTCATCTAAAGGTCACTTGAACGTGACCTTGACCGCGGCATATTCAGATGTTCAGGCGGAGCCATGTAACAGATGATTTTAATCAGATTGTATATTACATTAAATGAAATCCACTTTAACAATTGAGCTCACCAGTAAATTTAAGCTATCCTCTTTTTTAGCTGTTGTTTTGAAGGATAGTTTTCCCAAACATTTTCTATACAACTAGTCTATGCAGTTCATCCAAATGCTTCATAAATCGACCACTTTTAACGGGCAACGAAGGTGGCTGGACTATCAAGTATCAATGCGGCTTCACAGTAATGAAGAAGAAGATAGGTGGTCAGGTGGAACAGACTCATCTTTCACTAATAATCCAATGTTCAATTCCAAATTTGGAATTGGAAGATAAATGAAATTTTAAAATAAAAGTAGAATAAAGACCTTTGTGCCAGGCTGGAGGTTATTGTTTATACAGGTCAGTGGTTTGTATTCCATTCCCTTTATGTTGTTAGTGCCGTCAGTCAGGTTCAACATCATCATCTGTGAAGGTTTGGGTTCCCACTGAAATTTAAACAGGTAGATATAGCCCATAGGGAAATTGATGCGTTACAAATTATTTGGGTCATGAATTTTGTAAAATAGTTTTGTATTTTTTTTTAAAATAAAATAGGTAATTTAATGTTTCCAAATGTTTGGTTCTGCATCTTGTAAATTAATTTTGTATTTTTAAAAAATAAAACATTGTTTACACTTTAATCAGAGGATACAATTTTCATACTTTAATTAAATCTTTCCCTACTATTTTAGAGAATCTTTATTGTTTTCTTATCTTTCTAACGCAGAACCTCATTCATCTTAGTTTAAACATTATTTATCAGAAACTGACACAAGTATGAATTTATATAAATTATCTTCAGAAAGCACTAATAAACTCATTCTGTACCGCAACTCCGGTCCGGATTCCGTACTGGATGTCCTTACCAGACTCGCACCTACACATATCACACTTTTTTTTCTAAATACAAGTAGATTTTATCACGACTTATATTAAAATATTCATATTTACTTAAATAAGTCTCAATTAATATTTAGTGAAGAATTTACGACTGTCCGTATGGAATTAAGTCGCCGCCATATTGTTTATATTGGAGACCATTAAACGCAAACATCTTGCGGCAAATTCGAAAACAATAGGTCAAATGATGAAAAATATGTACTCTGCACCTTTAAAAATATTTCTGTCCAACTGATTGTTGCTGATTTTAGCAGCAATTGATTGGATTACGATACTGTCATGTGCTATAAAAAGCTTAAGATAAGACAGGTAACACCAAACTCTTGTCGTGTGTACACGACAACGGGGATGAGACGGCCCAATATTTTGTCATGTGTACTTTTTTACATGACAACAGTATGGAAAGAGTTAACACCCTCATCATAGCAGTGTAATATCTTGACCAATACATTTACATTATAAAGGTTCTAACCCTGGTATGAACTTCATGGGTGAGTGCAACAAAATCTAATCTGATATTACACGAAGTGTGTCTTAGCAATGACCAATAAAGTTCAGTGGTGGACAGTTTAGACTAGCTTGAGAACTTCTGTGACGTACCGGTTTTTGGTCACTGGTTTCTGCTGACACCTCAGCATTGGAGTTGGTGTTACCTTGTACTTTTTGTAGCTGTGAGTAAAACGACTTTCCCACGTCCACCATGGAGTCGATCTGGGTAACACAGACAGAATAAATGTCAGAAGTGAAGAAGGATTTATTGTTTAATGTTGATTAATACATGCTAACCATATTTTCTCCAATTAACCCCCCC